CTTCATTTGAGACAATGTGGAATAGTTTTACAGCTTACGTCACCTGGAACACCACAGTGAAATAATGTGCGAACGTCATAACCGTACTTTATTGAATATGGTACGATCTATGATGTCTCTGACTGATTTAGCGCTATCTTTTGGGGTTATGCTTTAGAGACGGCTGCATTCACTTTAAAGAGGGCACCATCAAAATCCGTTAAGACGACGCGCAGTTTTATTAGGAGCTATGAGTAATTGCCAATGAGATTAGATCAACATACGTACTTGCCCCCCGCGTTCATGATCATATGTGGTCGGATTATATTTGGCGACACCGGCTCCTGCGTTGGGCAATCCTACAGACTACAGTCCAGTTCTCCAATAGTCAATCCAGTCAAAGGTTTAGCAGTAGCGAGTATTTTTCTATTAATCTTGCAACCCTCATCTTATATATATATATATCTATCGAAATTGTACATCCTTTTAGTTATTTTGATTGTTTGATTTACTTGCTAATTGGTTCTTCTTATTTCTTTTGATTGCGTAATCTGGAAAACGGATATGAATAAAAAAGCGATGCCAAACAACACCATAAGGATTAATTTGATTTTTAGGCATATATTGTTTCACTTTTTCTACCTACTGATAATGTTAATGGTGCTAAAGTGCAAGTTATCAGTTCAGTCCAATGGGAGATGACTTTCTTCAGAATTGCAAGATAATCTGCACTAAAAGGGAATTACCCATCAACTAAGTTATGGTCTGCAAATTTTTTCGATCATATTGGAAATAGTCAGGGTAAAATTAAGCTAATACAATTGTAACTATGTTCTAGTTGCGCCAAAGCGATACATTTTTTTGGTTGCACTGGACATTTGTTTTCCCAAGTTGGCTTGGCCCCCCTATACTCGAATCCTGGCTCCGCCCCTGGTCGCCGTGGAGCTCGCGCTGGTTAATTTCGCTGAGTCACAGCAAATAGGATTCGGCCCAAAGACATCTCCTTACTCCCGCCATTGCCCCATCGACCACTATTCCTACGAAGTAGAACTTCCAAAAATGATAATAGAAATAATTAGGGACGAGGCGATTCGGTGCCCAGGCTCAACTGCATCCGTGAAGAATAGAAAATTTAAAAAATACTAAAAAAAATCAAAAATAATCTGATTTTTTTCATAGAAGATAATTTGGTGCATGAGGTGCGCTCCAAATTTTAAATCATTTGAACATCTGAGTTGCACTCGGCAAAAAAGACAATTTTGAGTCTGAAAAGTTTATAGTTCATGCGTTGTTCTGGCCTAATTTTTTTTTGTTGAAAGGTACTCATATGTCCAAATGATTATGAAATTTCGGGTGCATCTTATGCACCAAATTATCTTCCATGCAAAAAAAAAAGAATTTGTCTGAATTTTTTCTTCGTTGGGTACAAATGAGTCTGGGCTTAGCAATGAATATTCGAGTAATTAGTACATACTCACTCCATCCCAAAATTAATGTCGCTGATTTAGTATAAAGTTATACTAAATCAACTATACTTTAAAAAAAAGAAATCAACTACACTTATATTTTAGGAGGGAGGGAGTAATTGGCTGCGGATCTCCGTCAAAATTGCTGTTCTGAGTTCCGACTTGTGAATGGAGAACCGCACTGTCACCAACTCTAGCAAGTGGCATAATTCCTAGGATTAGTGGTGTTCATTCAATGCCATGCTTATCATGCATGGCCCAAATGATCGACTGTTGCGATGTCTGCAGATTAATCCGTATCAGTAACCAGTACTACCTCCCCCGCAAAAGAAAAGGTGTAAAGGGCGATTTGTCCTGTACTGTTATATAATGAAATGCATTTGGTGTTCCTTTCAAAAAGGTAACCAGTACTACTATGTTGGGTAACAGAAGGATATCCAACCCTAAAAAAAGAATCCAATAACTACTGAACGTTCGGATTTTGAGCATTTCGTCTCGAACGTTTTTATATTGCAATTTTAGTTCATAGGAGAAGGCAACTTCGTCATTTTTCGTTTTTTGTCAGAAAATTGCCATGTTTTTTTAATCTCACGCAAACTAAACTTGCCACCTAAACCCGTTCGGGTTGCCACCCTTAACTCCCGAACGTTCGGGAGTTATCATTACCGGAGGAAAAAAGGATATCCAGGATGATTATTTCCGATCAGGGAAAAGGGAAAGACTGTGCATGTGATGGACGATTAGACGTTTAATTTTAATTTTTAATTTCATTTTGCGGGGTAAAGAAGAAGTGACGGACGAGATTGGTGAATGGTGGTGGCATCTTCGTCTTGGTCACTCAGGCCGTTGGAACATTTCCAAAACTGTTTTTGCCATGGAATGCATCAGTTCGATTTCAAGTATAGTACTCCTATATACTCCATCCACCTTAAATCCCTTTTTAAAGTAAATAAAAGTAAGGTTATAATAACTAATTAAAGGAGAGCCGACCAAGCTCGTACCTTATTTTTGAACCCCAGAAATCTCAGCTCTGCACCTGCCACTCTCTATATATACCAGTACCATCGCTGGGACTACGTACCTTCTTCGCCCTCCGTTGCTTTGTCATATAGCTTCAGTTACCGTAACTACGTACAGCTGTAAGCTGGATTTGTCTGGACCGATGGTGATCTGGTGCGCTGGTGTCTCCCGCTGTCCGTCACGCCGCCCGTGCGCCCGCTCCTGAGCCCTGACGTGTCCCTCTCGCGGCGCCCCGGCCGTCTGCTGCCAACGGGGCACACATACCAAGACACGATCCACACGACAGCCCCCAATCGATCGGCGCCGCTCGGGCTTCCTCTTGTGCCCCGGCCGGCCGCCTCTAGTCTTCCTCCCCTTTTTCAGCACTGCTCTCCTCCTTCCTTCCTTGTTCGTCTCACCGTCCCGTTCCGAACTAGCCAGCCACCATCTCAGCGTCGTTCGTCGTCGTCTGGCCGAGAAGGATGGGAGAGTCGCCGTCACTAGCGCCGGCGCCGGCCAAGGTGTACTACGACGGGTGCCCCGGGTGCGCCATGGAGCGGAGGAAGGACAGCAGCACGGGGACCCCGTACAAGGAGCTCTTCTTCGTCGGGATCACCACCTTTGCATCATGTCAGTATCCTACTTCCTCCGTCCCAAAATACTTGTCATCAAAATGGACAAAAAAAAATGTATCCAGAACTAAAATACATCTAGATACATCCCTTTTATTTATTTTGATGACAAGTATTTCCGGACGAAAAGAGTACTTACTAAAACCAAGAGGATTAAATTACTGTCATGGTCGATCTTGCTCTTGTCTTGTCTTGCTCCGGCGAGCTGGAGTATTTCTTAATTCATCCCTTCTCTCTGTCTTATCTTATAGAGTTAATTACACGATAGTATCATAATTGAGGCGGTGGTGACGAATTGGTACCATTTTTGGTAATTTTTACGTGTCAGTACCATGTTTGAGACTGTCTATTACAAAATAGTCTAAACCGCGTATTGACGGTGTATCTGACAGTTAGGGCCCGCCTGTCAGGTGCTGATGTAGCATGTTCTTTTCCAAAAAAAGACCCTTACCTCTTATTTAATTACGCATCCATCCCTGGTTTGCTAAAGAGCGCCCTGCCAGGATTTTTCTTTTAAACGAAAAACGAAAAAACACGCCCCAAGCGCGGTGCCAGGATTCGAACTAGCTATGGAGGGGTCGCAGCGCACCGTCGCTGATAGTTTCGTCCATTTCGTTTTTTTCCTGTACTTGTTTTTATTCGTGTTTTTTTTGCGTGTCTCTTTTATCTTTTCTCAGATGGGTATTCTTCGGGCCGTACGCAGTGTGCATATCATATATAGAAGAAATTATACACATGTATATATATATATATATATATATATATATTGAATGATGTGACAAACATTTTATTTAAATATGATACACTTTTGTAATATATGATGCAATGAACTATTTTTAATTATATGATGTGATGATCGTTTTTTAATATCGTATAACATTTAATAAGAAAATTTTAATAAACACATCTTTTTAATATACGATGAAATTTTTGTAAATAGGGAAACACAAACAAACATATATGTTCACACAATTTTATTAATATACGGTTTACATTTTTGTATATAGGTTGAACAATTTTCTTAACGATGAAATTTTTTGTAATTTATGTTGAACATTTTCTTAATTTATGATGATTTTTTTTATTTCATTTATAAATTTATTATGATAAAAAAAATAATACATGTTATCAACTTTTTAATAATAGTGTGTTGACAAAAATATAATCAATATCGAGTAAGTAAAAAAACTGTGTGTTGGGCATATAATTTTTGTAATAGTTGCGTATTTGAATAATATAATGAGGTTACACAATAATTGTTTATGGTTCTGGTCCTAGCGAAGACACATAAAATTGGCCCGTGCATATAAATCTTCTAAAAAAAAGCACACTTAATAATAGTAATATGTAATCGGAGAAAAATGTATTAATGTTTTTAAAAAATAAAAAAGAGTAATTAACGGCACGCAGCCGCGATAGGCCCAACAGCCGGCCCAGCATGTCCATGCTTGTATAAAAGAAATCTCGCATGTTATTTACCACTTGCGTTCTTGCGGCCTGGTGGCTAAGCGCGCGTCTGCTGTTTTTGCGGGTCGCAGGTTCGAATCCTGCTGGGTGCTGTATTATGTTTATTTTATATATATTTATCCCGTTCGATGGAAACTTCCAATTAAGTCCGAAAGAATAAAAAAACTCCCACGCGAACTTTTTCGCGCAAAAATAACGGGCCTTTACGTGATTACATATAAAGTAAAGGGATTTTCTGCAAAAGAACATGCCACGTCAGCACCTGACAAGCGGGCCCCAACTGTCAGATACACCGTTAATACATTATTAGATATGGTTTAGACTATTTTGTAACAGACAGCCTCAAACATGGTACTGACATGTAAAAATTACGAAAAGTGGTATCAATTCGCCACCACCGCCTCAATTGTGATACCATCGTGTAATTAACTCTATCTTATAGCCACTGCACGTACGCTGTATCACTTCTTAATTCATTTCTTAGTTCTTGCTCGTAGCAATTTATTACGTACTGTA